AAAGGGAGAAGACAAAGTTACTGTTTAATAGGGAGAGAATTCATGTTAGAGATGAGAAAGTTTTCCTACAGAAAGTGGTGAAGGTTACAGAACATTGTGAATTTATTTATTGCCACTGAAATGTACACTTGCAAAGGGTTAAAAAGATAAATATCATATATATTTTACCATAATAAAAATATATAAAAATTTTAAAAATGCTTTAGGAAGAAGAAGAAGAAGCTAAAGCCAGTAAGAGACACTGAACTATGAATTTAGTAGAAATTAAAATGGAAAGACTTGGGGGTAAAAACCTAAAATCCAAAAAAAACCAACAAAACAAAAAATTTCAGGCTTCATAATACTTAAGTTCTAGAGGACTACAATATCCTTGACTTTGTCTGTTTGTTTATTAATTATTTTATATTTGTTTCTAATGGGGCTTTCATTTTTAAAATGTTTTTTTCTTTTATTTTTCTGAGTTCACTTTTCTTCTCTTTTTACTTTTTCTTCCTTGAGCACTTTGTCTCAATCTCACTCTTTCTTCCTATAAGAGATCCTATTATCTTTAATTTCCTTGAGACTATAGAACACTGTTTTAAGTTTTTCTGAAGCTTCTTTGAGTAACCTGTCTTGTAATATATATTCTCGACCTATCTTTGTTCATGTTGTCAGTTTATTTTAATGCTGTGCAAAATCTGTCCTATAAATTGTTTTCTCCCTGTGACTTTTGTGATGTCACTCCACTAATTTTAATCTTCTGTTCTTTCCTTAAAAAGTTGTTACTCCCCAGCAATTTACCTTTCACTGTGTTCACATGCCCTACCTTCTTGGTGAATATACCACTTACTTACATGCTGATAACAAATCACTTACTTTCAATCACACTGTCTCCAGTGTCTACAACAGTGCCAGATCTATACAAAAAGCTCAATAAACACATGTTCAGAGAATGACTCCCGAGTCTAATTTCTATCTTGCAACTTCTTCCTGTACTCCAGACTTATATCATACTTATCTCCTGATGATCTAACTCAGCAGATCTAAACCTTAACTCACAGGCTCTCCTATTATTTTGCCTAACTCAAAAACTATTAACAATACGCAATAAACAAATCTATTCTTCCTCTAGCAGCCCCCAACTGAAAGAATTATATTACCATTTGCTAAATTATAGACAGAACCTGAACATCATTCTTGACTCCTTCCATTCTCCCATTTCATTTTTATGTTCTGTGTGGACATATAATGGTCTCATAATTTAGTCTAAAATCAGGAGGTGGTCATGAAATATTGGTACTCTCTAGCTCAATGGCTCATAACTGGAGGTAATACCCACCAAACTCCCATCCAGAAAATTTGGGAATGTGCCAGGCCTTCTGGTGGTCAAAATTAATGGGGCACTACAGACATTTAGTGGGTGGGGACCAGGAAAGCTAAATGTTGAACAACTATGTCAGAAGACACATTAAAAACTGTCTAGACTAAATGCCAAAAATGCCTAAATGCCAAAAATGCCAAAATGTCATAGAAACGATGAATCGAGCTATTTTTTAAGCCATAAGATGGCAACAAACTCCAAGAAAGCCCTGAAAGATCACTTTTCTGGCTAAAAAGAAACACGTAGTTTCCAAATATCTAAACAGAAAAAAAATTTTTTAATTGAAAATGATGAGAAACACTTTTGAATAAACCTATGTATTCCAATTTTTATTTGTAATGAAGATTATGATAATTCTTTCCACATAGATTACCAAAGTGACACAAAAATTCCTACACTACTGCTGGAAACCTTTTCCTGCTTAAAAAGAATGTATCTAACAAATTCTTCATTTTTTAGTTATTGCATCTTTTAGAAGGTCAGTAAACAACAGTGGCAATACCATGCTATATAATCTTTGTCCTGTAAGGACAGACAGCCAAATAGCTCTGGTGCCAATTGAATTAGGTCAGACATCAAACAAATACCTTCTTTAAAAAAAAAAAAAAACTAGAAACAAGTGGTGGCTCATAAAACAGTAAACCTTATTTTCTTGAATGGCTTACAAATTAGCTCCTAAGGTAATTTAAAAATGTTCTAAGGAACAGAAATGAATGGGAACCACTAATATTTTCCATGGTGACAATGTTAAAATAGATAATATTCTCAGGCTAAGTTTTGGTATGCTTATTTAAGAAATCAATTATTTGATTGTCATTCCTTTAAATAATATGCTTGTTTATTTTGAATGGCTTGCAATATATTCTATGTTCCACAAAATACACCTAAATAGTGAGGTATAATTAAATCTCTACTTCCTAACACAGACAGTATAGAAGTCTGTAAGTTAAGATCATTGTACTCTAAAATCAAATTGTCTGGGTTCTAGTCTTGACTCTGTAACTTCTTAGATATATGACCTTGGGAAAGTTACATAAACTCTGTGAGCCTTGATTTCCTCATCTATAAGTAAGAGTAACATAGCACCTACCTCATGGAGCTGTTGTGAAGATATAAAGCGATGACACATATAAAGGGCAATAGTGTGGCATATAAAAAACATTCAATAAATGTTAACAGTATTTGCTGTTCATTATTTTATTACTTACTCATTTTTGGTCTCAAAAAATTAATGCAGGTATAGGAATTCCTTAGGTCGAGACTGAAGATGATATTGGATTTTAAACCCAGCAATCCCGTCTTATATCATAGTAGCTACAGGATAAGGACCTCTAGACAAAAATCCTAAATGAGTGCACCTCACCAGCTATCATGCCTCTAGAGGCTCCAGATGTGTATATTCTAGCTATGCTCCAACTATTTGCTTTCCAGTTTCTTTAAAAGTTTGTATAGATCCTTGCAGGTCCTATCTTATACAATGTCTATAGCTTATGCAACTATAACACTCAGGGCACATTTGCACTGCAGTGCTGCAGAAGCACCTGATATGTACGCCAATATTTTGCAAAGCTTATTAATAAACAGACACTGGAGTGTTGGCCTTGATGGTCATCACTGAAACATTCCAAGTTAAGATATTATTGATAATATGTGGGTGATTTCTTTTATATTTCAAAATTAGATTTCCTAAACAAAGAATGTAATTCCACCAAGTCAAGATGACCAAGAGAAAAAATATCAAAGAATTTAAATAATTTTTTTTCTATGTCTAAGTGTGGTAGGGCTATATTAGTGCTTACTAAGGTTCTCCTTTCCTTCCTGGCTGTATAGAAGTATGGAAAAATTATATATCTGTGACATTATTTTATATATTTATATATATACATATTGTATATAATGTGTGTGGTGTGTGTATGTCTGTTATGGCACAGATATACAAACATATATACATATATATATACACACATATACATACATATATATATGTTTTCATTCACAGTTCCTGGGTGTCAATTCCCACAGCCCTTGTTATTTCTTAAGCAGTCAAAAGCAAAAACATCCCTTTTATTTAAGTATTTGGCCTTTTGTTCCTGGTTCCTGAAGCAGCTTCAGAGTGATAAAGGTGAAAGACAGTCATCTGTTAATATTCAGGTACTTTAGGTCTCAGAAGCAGGCCTCAGAAAACAGAATTTCTTTGTCTAAACTTCTCTTGCCCTCCTTTCACCTGCTCCCTTTTCCTCCCCATGGTAGGCCATAGAAACAAAAAATATAATCTTCTCCCACCTGTCTTACAACTGGCCATAAGGAAATTCTCTGACCTACCTTGGCTGTTTGCAGGTCAAAAGAACCGCATTTCTGAAGGGGTCCTGCCTCATGCTGAGGAGGAAGGAATGCTGCACAGAGAGTCCAAAACGAATTTGAACAGACAGAACTTCTTGGGTTTCCCCACTCTGTCTATTAGTATTAGATCATACCCTTTTTTCCAATCACGTTTCTTCACAGTTGTCCATGACTCAACCATGCCTATCCAATGAAGCCTCCAGAGGACAGGGTATGCAGAGCTTCCAGATAAACACATGGAGCTTCCTAGAGGGTGGGGCACCCACAGGGGTCATAGAAGCTCCACGCCTTTTCTCCAATACCTTGCCCTTTGCATCTCTTCATCTGTATCCTTTATAATAAAGTGGTAAACTAAGTGTTTCCGTGAGTTCTGTGAGCTGCTCTAGCAAATTAACTGAACTCAAGGAAGGAGATCAAGGGAACTTTGACTTATAGCCATTTGGTAAGAAAGACAGGTAAAATAACCTGGGCTTGTGATCGGCATTGGAAATAGAGCTTAGTCTTGTGGCACTGAGCCCTCAACCTATGGGATCTGATATAATTTCCAGGTAGATAGTGTTGGAATTGAACTGGAGGACACCCAACTGGTATCTACTGCAGAACTGATTGCTTGCTTGTTGGTGGGGAGAAATTCCCACACATTTGGTCATAGAACTGTTCTGTGTCGATTGTTGCGGTGTGAGAGCAGAAGAAAAACAGTGTGTTTTTAATACAACGTCCCAGACCTTTCTATTAGGCAGGGCCAGGTGCCTTGTTTCAGCCTATAAAAGATAAGTGGTAGCGAAATGGTCACTTCTGGGTTGGGGCATGTGAGACTTCCCCATTACCATATCCGCATTCTCTTTTTCCTGGACAACACATACTGAGACAGTGGCTTCGTAAAATGGAGGGAGTCTGGATCCTGAGTCATAGGATGAAAGAGCCACCGATGACCCATGTTAGTCTTGGCGTGAGGGAGAAATAAACTTGCTGTGCTATGCAAACCAAATTTAGAAGTTTGTTCCTGCAGCATAACTTAGACTAGTCTGATAAATAAACAGAGGAATTTCATTTTCCTGCCTACACACTACCAAGTGAAAACACAGGTAAAAGTGGGAGACAATATGTACAAGGGGGCAAAAGTAAAGGAAGTGTTAGAGAATGCTGAATATCTCTGAAAAATAAGGAAGAAAAAGTAGAAATTCAGTAAGACAGAAAATCAATTTTCCTTACAAAATCCTAGATATGTCATTTGGCACCTTTGTTCTGGCCAGGAGGCATGTTTGCACACAGACAAAAATATTCAAAGGGAAATTCTTACCTTCGTAACTGAGCATTCTCGCTTCTTAACGGTTGCATGGCCAGTGCTATCTCAACTTGAATATCTGTGTTTCCGCTTACTGCTGGAAGTATAGATATACATGCTTCCATTTCTCTAACCAACCTCTGAATTTCTGAATCCTCTATAAAAGGCAAAAGAAATGAGTAAAATAATACTATAAATTATTTTTGGATAAGATTATTAGTATGTATTTCTAAAAAAGAAAATATTTATAGATACATACATACTTGTTATAAATTCAACACAATTCTTTATAAATTTATTATACAGGCTCTACTTTTCTCTTTCATGCTGCTATTTGCTTCCTCAGAAAAATTCTAAAGAAATTAAGTTCAGTAAACTAAAGATTAATCTTAAATCACAGGATTATCACATAAGTGTTTTTTTTTGTTGTTGTTGTTTTTTTCAGTTCAAAAGTCAAGTAGAAATGTGGCTTACACAAATCTCTTAGTCCATACTTACCAAGGACCACAGTGGATACCTATGATTGCTATAGGGTTTCCTATAATTTGTTATAGTATTAACATTTATAATACAACCTTTGATCCTGGCATAAGCAAACAATCTATGTTAGGGGATTAATTTGGCAAAATATTGACTGATGGTCTGCTAGGATAGTTTCATTATTTAATTTTCTAAAGTAGATTGAACACAAGCAGCCACATCTCATTTGATGTGACATCAAAAGGTTGTTACTAATGGTGGAGAGTGGATGTTTTTGGAGGTTGCAAATAGACACAGGCATAGAAGGCAGGTATTCGTTCTTTTGTCTTTTATCTTTTTCCCTTCATTCCCATTCATATTTACTAGAGGCTGAAAATATTTAAAATTATTTATTAATTATCTGATATCTAAGAGGTTGAAAGTATTTTCTAAGTTACAAAAAGGCATTCAGTTTCACAGATATTTTAACATCCTGATGAAAAGGATATACATAGTAAACAACTGTGTCCAATTATCAAGCAGTCTTCTTCTACCAATATTTTTTTTTTTTTTTTTTTTGAGAGAGAGTCTCGCTCTGTCACCCAGGCTGTGCAGTGGGGCAATCTCGGCTCACTGCAGGCTTTGCCTCAGGGTTCAAGTGATTCTCCTGCCTCAGCCTCCCGAGTAGCTGGGATTACAGGCACCTGCCATCATGCCCTGCTAACTTTTGTATTTTTGTAGAGTTGGGGTTTCACCGTGTTTGCCAGACTGGTCTTAAACTCCTAACCTCAGGTGATTCTCCTGTTTTGGTCTCTCAAAATCCTGGGATTACAGGTGTGAACCACTGCACTCAGCCTTCTACCAATCTTTTGTAGAGCAGTTTCACTCACAGGCTTTGGAGATTGGGACCTGGACCCCACCACTTTCTGGAGATACAACCTTGGTCAAAGTATTTAACTTATTTTTTTAAAACAAATTTTTTGTAAAAATTTATCGATTTAAATTGACAAAGAAAAAATGTATGTATTTATCATGTACAATATGTTGGTTTGAAATATCTATACATTGTGATGGTTAAATGGAGCTAATTAACACATGTATTACCTCAAATATTTGTCATTTTTATAATAAAAACACTTAAAATCTACTCAGCAATTTTTAAGAATACAATATTGTTATTAACTATAGTTATAATGTTATATAGTAGATCTCTTTAACTTATTCCTCCTACCTAATTGAAAGTTCATATCCTTTGGCCAACGTCTCAATACTTAACTCTTGAAACCTGGGTTTCTTCATGGTTAAATGGAGATAAAAACAGTACTTCACAGGGTTGTTGAGAAGATTAAAACAGATACTGTTTCTCCAGGTCTCAGTTTCCTCATCAGTAAAATGGTAGTGGTAATAGTACCACATAGGGTTGCTGGGAGGATTAAATGAGATAATGCATATAAAACACTTAGCACAGTGCTGAGCACATGGTAAGTGTTCAATAAATGATAGCCAATGGTATTATTATTATTACCATGATTATGTATCTGATTGTGAAAATGGTGGTAAGTTGAAGGTCTGAAAACACAGCAATTTTAATATACTATGTCTTTGGTTTAATGGTGCTACATTCATATAGCATTTTAAGATTTTTCTTTTTTTGGTCAGTCTGCAAATGTTAGGTATTCAATCAATGCTTCCACAATCAATTACTGTGTTTTCCAAGATGACAAATCTATAAATCATTCCAAGCAAAAGCCATTACAATAGAATACATATACAGAATAAAAACAAATGAATATAATCTTGCTCAAAGACATTTTTCTTGATTTAGGAAAAAAAGTTCTAAAAATAAACCGAAAAGGGCCTAAGAAGGTATGGGTTATCAAAGTGAGATTTGTTAAACAAATTAACAGTTGGCTATTTAAAAAATGACAGGCAGGCATTCTTTGCATCTTTTTAAAACAGGAAAAATAATCAGTCTACTCAGGAAGTTAATCATCTTCAGGGGTTCTCTAATCTAATTAAAAGTTTTATCTGCACAAATTCTCTTTGGTTGAATCTTTTCAAGCTCTATTATCAAGAAGAATAAATATACACTTGCAAGTAAAAGACTGAATGTTTGATATTCTCTAACATTTTAAATCCACAGGAAAAAAAATCAAAACCTAAAAAGTAAGAATACAATAAGCAGAACTGATTTTCTTATTAGTTCAAAACACAGTTCTATGGAAAATACCACAAACTCCATTTAAATGACAGCTAAATAATGTGACACTGGTATTTGGTATAACACCACACTACAGAAAATTATAAGTCTCATCTACCTTTTTCTGCTACCAGGGCCTTGAGCTCTCCCAGCAAATATTTTATAATTCTAACTTTTTCAGCTATCTCATTCACATTTTTTGCCTTCTGTACATCTTTGACTGTTTTTGTATCTCGCACACGTAGGTTTAAATCCTTTCTTTCACTTCTGGCCTCTCCAATTTGCTCTCTGGCACAGTTTTCTTCATTAGTGGCCAAGAAAGCTGGCTGTGATCGAGTAGGGCTTCGGTGTGTCTGACTGTCCAGATGTGTTTCTTTTCCATGAGATCGAAAAGGAGACATATATGTTTGAAAACATTTGAGTAGGTCTGTTTCCTTATGAACTCCTTGTTGTGGCAGAATCCCACTAACAAGTCGCAGTTGCTGCAAGGTTGGAATAGCTGATGTGTCAGTTTTGGACAGGCTACGTGGAACTCCAGGGCTGGTGTTAAATGAATTCTGTAGAACATCAGTACAGGTTGCAGAAACTGTTTTACCTTGTGATGCAAACTGACTGTCACCAACAGTTTCAACTTCCTAAAGAAAAAGAAAAGCAAGTCTTCAGAAGTATGAGCAGTCACTTACAGGTATTAATTATAACAAACTCAAATATATAAAATATATTTATTAAAATATTTATTAAATATTCACTTTGTGAATATTTAATAAATAGTTACTACTATACTTTGTGGGTATACCATAGTCTGTGCAACCATACTCCTATATGGTTACACATTTACGTAACAGCCAGTTTTTCACTGCTGAAATATTTCTGTAAATATGCTTGTGCAAAAGCTTTTTGTATGTTTGAATTTATTTTCTTATGATGTAATTTCCCAAAGTGGACTAATTTTTGATGCTTTTAAACCATCTGTGGTATTTGTAAACAGTCTATTTTAGTCATGGCCTTGTAATGCTCCCATCTTACAGGGTAAACTAAGCTTCAGAAACCAAGAATCTTTATTGTACTGAGGAAAAATCCAACTTCCTTTAAACTAAAAATATTAGTAAGTTTCTAACATTAGAAACTTGCTTATTAATAACAAACTCAAATATATGTTTACACTCCTAATCATATAGTAGTTACACAGACTATGATATATCCACAAAATACAGTAGTAACAAGTTACTAAAAATTCACAAAGGGTATATATTAATAAACATCTTTTAAATAAAGTATTAAGCAAAAGAATCGGTATAGAAAACTGCATAAAGTTTACTTATAACTTTATTTTAAAGGGAAACCAAACTTAACAAATAGAAACCAGAAACTAAAACCTGTACAGAGGATTAAACGACTGGAAAGAACTCTATCAGTGTGTTAACGGCAGTTGTACTTGGGTGGTCAGTATGGTTGATTTTGCTTTCCCCCTACTGATCTCTTCCCCTCTTTCTCCTTCATTACTGTCATTAATAAATAGGTAAAACTATAAAATAGTAAAAAATAACTGGTCTTTAAGTCCTAGCACATTAAGTTACAATCAATAAATTCAACAGTCCTTCCTAAATGACTGCTATAAGCAAATAGTTACTTATGTAGTATACAAACTGTACACACAGAATGAACCTTTGGAGGGCAGGGTGGCCGCTGAGGTGACCAGACTGGGGTGGAGGTACATAAGCCGTAACTAGAATGAGGAGTTGCCTGAGATTCTATAAGTAAGAGGGAGAAAAAATTAATCACATATCCTACTTTTTATACAATAACAAAGCAATTTAATTAGAACATGCATTCATGACTTTTAAACAGTATTCACACTAACCAGAATGAGACACAGCATGACATGGTACAGGAGGAATTCCATTAGGGATGTTCTTTGAAGTCAAATCATTCATCAGTGACATCTGAGTCTGCACATGCTCACAGAGGGCTTGGTATATTATGGGTGAATACATTCTATAATGATCTTGCAATGACCAATTTTGTTCTAGGTCTGATGTGTCTCTTTCACTTCTAGCAGGAGCTTCATTAGGTATCTGTTTCTTATTATCTGAAGATGCTAATGTCGAAGAAAAAAAAAGTTCCTGAAACATGATTCTTCAAAAATGCTTACCGTAAGATTTTAAGAGAAGGAAGTGTGCTCAAAAGTAGTTTAATTCATGACATACTTCATAGAAGGGCTTTACCACTGTCACCCTCACTAAAGAAAATCACCTCAAGTTCTTTCTGAAAGTAATTAGTGTTTAAGTTTCCCCAGTCAAAAATCATCTATACTAATTCTTTAGTCCCATTTTTTTAATGCTACTTGCCATTTGTAAAATCCCTCCTTCAATTTTAACACTTCTTTTGAGGGTGTTATGTTATCCTTAAAGTCCAATCAAACTCCTTCACCTTATTCCTTGTCAGTTCATGTTCTCAAGGGAAAACAGAATAGGAAAGAAAATAGTTTGTACAATTCTAATGCTTTGGGCCCTCAAAAACAAAACAAAACCAACCAAACAAACCAATCAAACAAAACCATCCAAGGCTCATCTGAAAGTTTTCTTTTTCCATGAAGCCTTTCCCAATCCAATCTTTCTAGTCTAGTGACTACTCTTCCCCACCCCAGAGCACATATTGTCTATATGAATCATATGCCACCGACACATTGCCTTATATTGCTTATGTTTCATCCTCCTGTCTTTCTGACTAAACCGTACGTTTCTTTAAGCAGGGCTGTATTTCATTATTTTATCTTACCGGGTCTAGTATTAGTCTATGTACAAGGTAGAAATCTGGTATTAACAAAGTAATAAGTAAAAAACAACAAAGTCTTCTACATAGCACTACCTGTAGATTGGTATAACAATCTAAGTTCTATTTCCCTAATTAGATCCCCTTCCCAAATGTTTTTTAAAATACTATTAACAGAAATGAGAATATTCTAGTAAATCATGGGTTATCAGTAAACAAAATAAATTTGGAAAATTTACTGCTATTGGTAGCACCTACCAAAGCTAAACATACATATATTCTATGACATAACAATTTCACTCCCAGGTATACACCTAACAGAAATGAGTGCTTATGTCTACTAAAAGACATGTACAACAATGTTCACAGCAGCTTGATTTGTGGTAGTCAAAAGCTGAAAACACCAAATAGCCATGAATAGTAGAAACAGATAAACTGTGTTATATGCACAGCTTGGAATAATACACAGCATTAAAAAAAGAACAAAGTACTGATATATACAACTACCTGGATGTTTAATAGACAAAAGGCTGAGTGAAAGTGTTCAAAGCAAGAGTGCACAGTGTTCAATTGCATTTATAGGAAGTCCTCAAACAGGTAAAAGTCACAAATGGAAACAGAAGTCAGGAAAGTGGTTACACAGGCTGAGGGTCTAAGTGATGGTAGGGGTACTGACAGGGAGGGAGCCTTGTAGGGTGCTAAAAATTTTCTGTATCTTACCCTAGGTGGTATCTATAGGGGTGTATACATATGCAAAAATTTATTGAGATTTATGTACTTTAAAATTACTTATGAAAAGTATTTCTTACTTTTTAAAAAATGATTAAAAATTTAAAAGTAGAGAATCCCTCAAATATATAAATATGTATAGTTTACTGAAAATAAAAACATTGCTAAAAGCATACAACTTCCATGTAAAAGCAAAAACAGAAAAAGTTAAAGGCAGATTAAATACTATAACCAGTGAAAAAAGAAAAAAAAACGAAAAAGACAATATTTGAATATGAAAATGGCTAAAGATATCAGATGCTTCCCTTTTGACTTGGGGTATGTTTCCTTTTGAGATGATCTATTCCTATGAATGTACTTTCTAGACCTATATGCAAGCTTTAACACTTATTAGCTGAGTAACTTTGGGCAAATTAACTTCTCTTGACCTCCTCTTCCACATCAGAAAAATTGTAATGTCTATAAGATTATTGTGAGATGTAAATGAGATAACACTTGTAAAGTTCTGAAATTGATGTCCAGCACACAATAAAAACTCAATAAATGTTAAATATCACCAACTAGCTGTACTCACACAATAGACAAGTAAATATATTCATAAATCTTGCTATCTGATGTCAGTAATAAACCTCTAAACATGTCCCTTCTGAGATGATTAGACTCAAAAGCAGTAAGTTACCTTCACTATTTGAACAGATCAGCTCAAACAAAACTGGTTAATAAACTTCTGTAAAGCAAATACTACTTTTTACTGGAAATACAATTTTATAATAAATGGAAAAGTACCCTCTAAAATATTTTAACTTTCGGCCGGGCGCGGTGGCTCACGCCTGTAATCCCAGCACTTTGGGAGGCCAAGGCGGGTGGATCACAAGGTCAAGAGATCAAGACCATCCTGGTCAACATGGTGAAACCCCGTCTCTACTAAAAAAACTACAAAAAATTAGCTGGGCATGGTGGCGCGTGCCTGTAGTCCCAGCTACTCGGGAGGCTGAGGCAGGAGAATTGCCTGAACCCAGGAGGCGGAGGTTGCGGTGAGCCGAGATCGCGCCATTGCACTCCAGCCTGGGTAACAAGAGCGAAACTCTGTCTCAAAAAAAAATAAAAATAAAAATAAAAAATAAAATAAAATAAAATATTTTAACTTTGAAATCTAAAATAGTAGAGGGCAAGATCATAGCCCATGGCCATCGAGCACACCGCAAGTCCCTTTCCTTTTGATTCTTGGGTCTTTCCTTCTGCTCTTGGATTTCCTCTGGTCCTTGTGAATTGGCTAGTTTGGGCCAGGTGTGGTGGGTCACACCTATAATCCAAGCACTTTGGGAGGCTGAGGTGGGTGGATCACCTGAGGTCAGGGGTTCAAGACCAGCCTGGCCAATGTGGTGAAATCCCATCTTTACTAAAAATACAAAAAATTAGCTGGCTGTGGTGGTGGGTGCCTGTAATCCCAGCTACTAGGGAGGCTGAGCCAGGAGAATCACTTGAACCCATGAGGCAGAGGTTGCAATGAGCTGAGATAGTGCTACTGCACCCCAGCCTGGGAGACAAGAGCGAAACTCTGTCTCATCAAAAAAAAAAAAAAAAAGAGAGAGAGAGAGAATTGGCTAGTTTGAAGACATCTATTTTCACACATAGGTCATAGCATTGGAAATCTCATTTGCTTTCTTTTCAAGGAGTGGTTTTCGCAGTCTTTAATAAAGCTGAGCTATATTATGCCTCAGCCAGCGGATGTCATTGTCCAACATAAATTAATAAACTCCAAACCTATTTATTAAAAATCAAAGCCTTAGAGCTAAAAGGACATATTTCACTCCTTTATAAACTGAATCCATACAAAACTCTACCGATAATGTTGAGTAACTTAATGATGTAAAGTCTTAAAGCAAACAATCCAAGTTAAAAACCATAAATGGATATAAGGCAAAGACTGTACTTTTATTACTACTACACGATTTTAAAATAAAACAATGACCAAATGAGCCTGTTACTACACAAATACAAATGAAGCATATTTACTTGCTCCTGTTAATTACACCAACGCACTCTATGTGAAAATTTTAGCTATTGGTCTGGCAATGTGTTTAAGTGATGTCAGGTGATAACTAGAATTCATGCAAGGAATGTATTCATTTACTCAGTCCACAAAACTGTTTCAGTCACTAAAGTCTAGCTGCTGTGCAAGCACTGGCTATTGCTTGGATGGACAAGCACCGTCTGACAGGAAGTAATTCCCATCACTCAAATACAGAACAAACACCAAAAGCAGGTAAGAGCCACTGGATGCCTACTATATCTGGCCTTATGAGGGGAAATCAGTGCTTAAAGGATTCTGCCTGTGGTTGATTTAGTTCCCCAAGATGAAGATGGAAATATATATATGTTACTAAAAGCAAAATCATGAAAGCATTCAATGCAGTTATCACATATAAAAGTTGCTTATTCAAAAAATTTTTTTAAATGCTAAAGCACTCTCAAATAAGCTCAACACATTTCTGGAAGGGCCTCTCTGCCTCCTTACTTCCAGAATGCATCATGGTGTGCATACCTGACTCCTTAGGCATCCAATGATCAGATAGGTCCCAGATAGAAAATACATGGGGGGGGGGGGCATTCCCCAGAAGACAGTTAACACAAAATATCAAGATAATGTGTATTAAAAGTAAAATAATACATAGATACTAGTTAACATGCTGTAATAGATTCCTTAAAGTTCTTTACAATTACCTCACTTGCAGAGAGATGGTAAAGAGAACAAGCGACGAGCTTGGATTTTATAAGCATTGCAGTAACGGAGCAAAATCTTGTATTATTGGTTAACAGCTGCCAACCACACACACACACACACACACACACACACACACACACACACACACAC